TTGTCGCACTTCAAGAGGGATGTGGCTAGTATTGAGAGGGCCCAGAGGAGGGCCACTCACATGGTCAGGGGCAGCAGGCGAGGCCCTATGAAGAGAGGCTGAAGGGCCAGAATCTATTCAGGCTCCACAAGAGAAGGCTGAGAGGGGATCTGGTGGCCATTTAAAAACTCACCATGGGGGACCAGCGGGAATTGGGGGAGGCTCTGTTCCCCCGGGCACCACCAGGTGTTACTACAAATAATGGCCACAAATTGTTAGAGAGAAGGTTTGGGCTAGATATCAGGAGACATTACTTTACAGTTAGGGCTGCCAGGCTCTGGAATGGACTCCCAAGTGAGGTGGTGCTCTCTCCTACTGTGGGGGTCTTCAGGAGGCGGCTGGACAGATATTTGGTTGGGGTGTTATGACCCTGGCACTTGTTCCTTCCCGGGGCAGGGGGTTGGACCTGATGATCCCATTTAGGTCCCTTCTGACCCTAAGCACTATGAAACTATAAGAAATGATATCTTTTATTAGATTAACTAGGAAATTGCACGTGCCTGTTGCAGCATCTCAAAGAAGTTTCAGACACTGCAGAAGGCACACCACAAACAAAAAAATGCTCCCTGTGCTGCATATTTGCAGTGCGGACTTGACATCTGATACCGGGAAATCCCAGTATCAAAAGAAACACCCTGGAAAAAAGCGGCACAGGGCGTACTCCTGGAGCCTGCCCAGAGGCAACCAGAGACTGGGTCCTCCAAGGAGATGCTCTAGCACCCAGCCAGAGCATCTCTATGCTTGCCACATGCCAGTGCTGCTCCAGCACACTGCTTTAGTGTGCAAGGTACTGCTTTAGCATGTTGGAACAGATAGAAGTGGGGCAAGGCTGGCAGCAGTGGCTCAGATACAGGCTCTGTCCCCTGAAAGCAGAGACATGGGGATGGGCGGACTGTGTGGGGGGGCTGTAGGGGTGGGCAACTGTGGGGTTTCTGGGAAGGGTTGTGGGTATGGGGTTTGTGGGGGGTGTGGAGAGTTTGAGGGAGGCTGCCACACACACACACACACCCCTATCTCCCCATGGAACACAGCCATGCACGCCCAGCTTGATGGCGTACAACTCCTGCATGAAGTGCTGGGACCCCACGTGGTGGCAGAAGCCATCCTGGTCCTGTTTAAAGGCATGCTCCAGTGGGCCAGGCCAGCTCCATTTTCCATGTATAGCCTCTGAGTCTCAGGTGGCATCACACCTCTCCAGGGCTGTGCCTGTAGCAGGCCATGAGCACCCCAACAGCCTGGCTGGCTGCTGCTGCCAGCAGTAGGGGCTGTGCACCACAGGGAGGTGGAGGGTGAGCATGTGGTGCCACCCCCCATCAAGTCTCCCTGAAAAACCCACAAACCCCACACACACACCCACAAATCCCACCCATCCACACCCACAAACCCCACATCCCCTCCACACCCACACCCCACACATATCCACCCATGAACCCCATACACACCACCCCCTAAAAACCTCACCCCCACTCCCCAACACCCATTCCCACATCCCCCACACACCCCACATCCCCCCCATCTCAAACCCTGCATGCCCAGCTGCCAGACAAGATGGGACCTGCTGGTGGGAGCTGTGCCTAAAGGGGCAGCTGTCCCCACATCCTGGTTAACAAAGCTGGCAGGGGGACCTTTGATTTTTCTATAATAAAAAGCCCAAAGCAAACACCAAAGCATATAGATATTTAGAATGTATTTTATTGTGATTATAGAGGCACTGGTAGGCTTCCAAACTAGTTTAACTGGTTAACATATCAATAAAACATTGCCCAACTGATCGATCTCTATCTCTCTATACACAGATATAGTGACGCTTCATTTTAATTGTGAAAGAATACAGATTTTGGGGTATTTTAATTTATGAATCTGGGATTCTTTATCAAAGAATTTGCCATTTTTAAACAGGGAACACCAGGATTCCCACTAGTGAGGCAAGTGGCAGGACCCAGGCAGAGGAGCCTGCCCAGAGCTGGCATTCAGGACCCAGCTGGAGGGCAGATGAGACGGTGGACCTTCTGGCCACTGGGGGCCAGGAGGATATGCTTTGACAGTTCAAATCAGGCCACCACAATGAGTATATCTTTCAGGTGATAGCTGCCCAGACAGCAGGGCAGGGGCTGCATGAAAGCCAACTGTGCAGCCATGGCCCACTGGCAGCTAGCCCAGAGGTGCAGGTAGCTCTGCTGCAGTGCCCATACCAGAGTCCAAGTGGCCGTGTGGTCCCTGTCCAGATTTGACAGGTGTGCAGACATGGGGATGCAGGTCCAAGTGGTTGGATGCTGTCACAGGTGGCATCAGGTTACAGCTAGGGAGCAGCCCCCACTGCCAAACTGCTGTAGTGGGTAGAGGATGCAAAGGCCACTCTAGGAGAGGGCTGCTGCAGCAGTCCAGCTGGCACAGGGGGCTAGTGTCCATATATATCAACTGGCTGGGCCTCAGAAGATCCTGAGAGCAAGTTGCCCTGATCTGCTCACCAGGGAAGCTTTTTATACAGCTGAGGCCAGCACCTGTGGCAATGCTGGTAATCCCAGTATTAAAAAAAAAAAAACATACCATAAAAAAGCAACGCAGGACACTCTGTTGGAGTATGCCCATAGGCAACCAGAGGCTAGGTCCTCCAAGGAGATACTCTGGCACCCGGCCAGAGCATCCCTATGCCTGCCACATGCACAGTGCACGCCCCCCCCCCCCCCAGGAGCAGCAGCAGCTGTGCTTATCAGGGCTGTCATAACCCATCATTGGCAAAGACCCCTGGCAGCACAGCATCACCTCAGACTGGTGGCTACACTTGGCGCCAGCCTGGCTACTGGCACGTGCCCTCAAGCAAAACCGGGCTGGCTCTTGCTCTCACCTGCAGCTCCTGGCACTGCAAACAGGGGCCGTGCACTATCAGGCTGAGCCAGTTCCTGCCTCCATGGAGCCGGTCCAGCCCAAT